ACATCAGGACCCATGGCCTAGAATGGAACGAACAGGGTGAGAGACTTTGTGAGTTCATCATGTCAACCAAGACCATCCATGGTAACTCACAGTTCCAGAAGGCAGAATCTAAACGTTGGACATGGGAGTCTCCCGGTGGATGATTCCACAATGAAATAGACCACATCATATTCAATCGACGGTTTTGCCTGACCCATGTCGCTGTTGTCCCAAAATTTCGAACGGGATCAGACCACCGTCTCCTTCGTGCAAAATTCTACTTCACAGAGCGGGGAGAAAGGGCTGCAGAGTTCAAAAAGAGAACTCCCAGAACGACCACCAACTGGGAGCTCTTTGGCACTATTGCGGTAACATGGGAAGATGCCATTGTTGACAACATTGACGAGGAATACGATCGACTGGTTCAGCACCTCCATGACTGTGCGAGGAACGCCAAGAGAGAGATAGTCACAAAAAAAAAAAAACAAAACGCCTGTCTTCGAAAACTCTTGAGCTTATTCGCCAGCGTCGTTTGGCGCATGCCTCAGGCAACCACAAGTGAATGTCCAAGCTCACAAAGCAGTGCAGAGATGCGATCAAGGAAGACCTCAAAGAAAGAAGAGCAGAAGTGCTGGTAGATGTGGCAGAAGCCGGGAAAAGTATTCGTAACGCCTGCCAGTCCTTTGCCAACTACAAGACCAAGACGACTGCCCTCTGACGTCCTGATGGATCCATTACGTCCTCCAGAACGGCAATGGAGAAGATTATCCATGACTTCTACTCAAATCTCTTTGATAGACATGTCCACTTGCCGACATACCAAATTCCACAGGATGGATATGTCATTCCCAACGTTCTCCCTTCCGAAATCTGACACGTCATTTTGTCAGTAAAGGAAAGAACAGCACCTGGCCCAGACAAGGTCAGACCTGAACACCTGAAGAACCTGCCATCAGTACTCATCAATGTGCTGGCTCGGCTCTTCACATGCTACCTTTCTGAATGCAAGTTTCCGTCCCAATGGAAAATCTGCAGGACTGTACTACTGTACAAGAAGGGAGACATCCATGACATTGGCAGCTATCGCCCGATCTGCCTATTGTCTGCCATCTACAAGTTGTTCACTCGAGTCATCCTAAATAGGATTGGCAGAACACTAGATGAAGGACAACAATGCCAGCAAGCCGGGTTCCGCAAAGGATTCAGCACCATTGACCATATCCACACGATAACCAAGCTCATTGAGGTTTCTCGGGAGTTCAAGATGCCGCTCTGTTTAACATTCATTGATTTAAAGAAGGCCTTTGATTTTGTTGAGACGGAAGCAGTCATTGAAGCCCTAGCCAATCAGGGCATTCAAGCCCAATACATCAAGATCCTCCATGAACTGTACTGCGGATTCACTACCAGGATCTCACCATTCTACAAAGAAGTAATCATTGATGTCAAGAGAGGGGTTCGGCAGGGTGATACCATTTCACCGAAACTCTTCAGTGCCACCCTCGAGAACATCATGCGATGACTGGAATGGGAAGGAATGGGAGTGAAGATAGATGGTCGGCAACTACACCAACTCCGCTTTGCTGATGACATTGTTTTAATAACACCAAACATCAGCCAAGCGGCACAAATGCTGGCCGACTTTGACCGTGAGTGTGGAAAGGTAGGACTACAGCTGAATCTTACAAAGACAATGTTTATGAGAAACAGCCTCGTTTCTGATGCCCCATTCGCTCTCAATGGAACGACCATATCTGAATGCAACATCTTTGTGTACCTAGGTCGAGAAGTCAACATGACAAATGACCTGGCACCCGAGCTGCACAGGAGGAGGAGAGCGGCTTGGAACGCTTTCAAGAACGTCGAAGAAATAGCTAAGAGGACGAAGAACCTCCGGCTCTGGGCACATCTCTTTGATTCCACTGTTCTTCCTGCATTAACATATGCCTCAGAGACCTGGGCCTTACGCAAACAGGATGAGAACATTATTCAGTTCTTGCAAAGAAGAATTGAAAGAGCTATGCTTGGACATCCATCGACGATCAAGAATCAGGGACGCTGTCTCATTTGCCAAGGTGTCAAAAATCATATGGGCTGGTCACGTAATGAGATTTAAAGACGACCACTGGACTAGAGCTGTTGCCGACTGGGTTCCACGGGATGTCAAAAGACCGCGTGGCCGCCCACCTACCAGATGGTCAGACTTCTTCATCAAGATCATGAATGATCAGTTTGAGGCTCTTCATATTCCCAGAGCGAATAGATGCCATTGGGCTACACTAGCACGCGACAGGGACAAATGGAGACGTTACTGGCACCCGCTCGAGCAAATTGACTACTAATGGGAAGTTAAGTGATTAAGTGATTAAGTATGAATGTCATATTAAGCTTCTTCTCCTTCCTTCCTTCCTTCCTTCCTTCCTTCCTTCCTTCCTTCCTTCCTTCTTTCCTTCCTTCCTTCCTTTCTCTCTTCCTCCCTTTCTTCTCTCCTTCCTTCCCTCCTTTCTTCCCTCCTTTCTTCCTCCCTCACTCTCTCCTTTCCTCTCTTTCATTCCTTCTTTCTCTTCATCTCCCTCTCTTTTATTCTCTCTCTTTATATACCTAGGGATGCTTAGGGATTACTTCTAGCTCTGCAAAATTCTCCAAGTTAATAAAATCTGTGGTATCTTCAATGAATCAATTCCTTGTAAAGAAAAACAAATGCAAAAATATGTAATTAGAACTAATCAGAGTACAACAATTTTTCATGGTGAAAAAAACTAGGGCAAAATTTAGAAAAATAACTCTGAATGGGGGAAAATATTCCCACTACATATCTGATAAGGGAATAATATATGAAATATACCAAGAGATTATAAGACTTTATAAAAAAAATTAAGCAAGTCCATCCAAAGCAGTGGGGAGGAAGTTAGGAAACACTTTTTCAAAGAAAGCATACAGATGACCAGTGGGGATCTCAGAAAGAGTTTCCATCACTTATTATCAGGGAATTGGAAATTCAGGTGGCAATTACACTAGTGAAAATGGTCTGAATTCAAACATTCAGAAACATTCAGTATTCTGGGGGCTGCAAAATAATATTTTCTGCAAAATTGTGGAGCCTAACTGGCCATCAAGTTGTTCTGTTCATGAGAAATATGCCTGCATTGAAAACCATCTACCCTAGTGAAAAACATCTATTTTCTATTTCTGTCCTGTTCTAGAGTTGGCAGGAAATTAAACACCGCCAACTCTGAACACAAGCTGCATAAACACCACCAACTGCACATGATAAGGAAAACTGACCCTACCCATGGTTCACACAGGCTCACACAGGAGAGCAGGAGCTGCTGAAGGGCAACTGAGTCTGTGTAACATGACCCTGGAATGCATATGGCACATCCTTGAGATGGTCAGCATCTCACCTTGTACTCCAGATGTGCTTCTGTGCTTGGTATAGTCTAACTCCGTCCTTGGACATGACATTTTGAGAATTTCTGCTTCAGTGCTCTCCCTCCAGCTGCCTGCAAATGCCCTCTCGCCTTTTCTCATAGAGTCTATAAAATGAAATTCTTGCTCCTGTTCAAGCCCAGTCTGTCTAGCAGGAGCTCAACTCATGCTGGTATTATAAACCTTAGTTTTCCCAACTCTCAGTGAGCTTCTCAGTCTTTCACTGGCTCCCAGTGATAATTTCCACAACATAAACAACAAGCAACATTGGCCATATGGGATATTGGGGACTGAACCTGGGTGGGCCATGTCCACCTGGTTGGGAAAGTGGCCTGACCACTGAAAACATGTGGTGAGAGCCCACACATTTGTGAACATACACAGCACTATTTACAAGAGCCAGGATATGGAAACAACCCAAATGTCCAACAGCAGATGGGTGGATAAAGAATTTGTAGTATCTATCCACAATAGAATATGATGGGCTATAAGAGAAAACAAACTTTTGCCTTTTGATACAACTGGATGGAGCTAGAGTGGGTCCTATTAAGCAAAACTGCCAGAGGTAGAAGACAAACACCGGGTGGTTTTATTTATATGCAACAGCTAAAGAAACAAATAGAATTGATAGACAGTACATAAAGACAACAACCCTATGAACTTTTGATTTAGAACAGGGTAGGGCCCAGGGAAAAGAGGAAGAGGAAATGGCAATAGGCCATGTGGAAGGTCCAGGGAACTCTGGTGGTGCTGGAGCAGAGATAATTTTGCACACTACTTGTGTAACTTAAATACCATGGCGCCTCAAGTAAAAATAAAACACAAATTATTGTCTTCCAAAATGTCATCTGCTTTGCATTATCACCATCTGTTAAAACTTTTTTCCAGAGGTTAAAAGAATAAACCAACACTCCTGCACCCCAGTCTGAAAACCCACTGATCTGAGACCAATTTCTGTATTTCCTGTGTTGATTATATATACTAAAGCTGAATGCTATGCCTACTAGACAAACACCAGAGGTAGAAGACAAATCTTCAGCTGAAATCCCATTTTTCAAAGAAAACACAAGAAAATCTCATAGAAATAAGCAGACCCCTATAGAGATAAGATCCATCTTATCAGACCAGGGGAACCCCTAAGCCAGGGATCCTTCAGCTGAACTCTCCCCATTCTTCTGGAAATGGATAAAGTCTCTGACCTGATTTCCTGGCCTAGGTCCAGCAAAGCCTCCCCACCCCCGCCCCCACCCCAACCCTCCTCTCAGTTTCCCCTTATGGGAGGTGAAGTGTTTCTGAGAGCAACTGGAAAGGGAAAGATCTGCTGTTATAGAGGAGTTTGGTTTTCTGTTCTGAGAAATGAAGTCTCATTATGGAAGCAGGAGATCAACTCTGAGGACAGTGTTGACAGGTCTGGCTAGAGGTCGGCTGGACTTTTCACCCTCCACTTAGACAGAAGTCTAGGCACTGGGCCAGCAGGGGGAGGGCAGGGCACAGTTGCAAAATTCTGTGCTGTCTCTGCAGGCTGCCTGGAGGGTGTTGGCAGGGGAACAGCTGAGGGTCCCGCAGTGCTGACACCTGCTGTCTGGACCCCTCTTGTCCATCAGACCACCTTTTAATTGTGAAAGAGGGATCGGCAAACCAGGAAGAGGAAAATCCTTACCAGGGTTCACTGAGAAGGGTAAGTCCTCCCTAAGACCTTCCAGCTCCTGTCTGACCCTGGCCAGCTCATTCCCGTAATTGGAAGTATGTCCACACACTCTGGATCTGAATTTTGCCCTGACCATGAGTCCCTGCTTCTTTTCCTGGCAAGTATGTAGTTGGAAGCACCTCAGAGAGGCAAAGTTCAGGACTCAATGTTCTTGCCTTGCACATGCCACTAATAGTTCCCCATAGTGATGTCCAAGAAAAAACTAGGAGCAGCCTAGAGTCAAGAGCACTGGGAGTGTGACTTCCTTCCAGCAACCCTCACACATACACACACACACACACAAACACAGGAAAAGGATGTCTTTTTCTGAAAACAGGAAAAGGACATTTCAGAGAACAGGGCTCTGTTCTTTTAAAGCACCATCGTCCCTTCCTCCCCACAATCCCTGAAACCATTGGCTTTCCATGGGGTGGGAATCTATGAACTCCATAAACCTCTAAACAGCATTTCCCCAAACTGGCAGGGTACAGTTGGGGCAGGTGTTCTGTTTTTGTTCAGGTAAGGAAGACAGATTTCCAGGGACCAGAAAGATACTACAATGAGATAAAACTCTTGTATCAAACTGGCACAGGTTCGATATCACATATGGTCCCATGGTCAACCAGGAATTACCTCTGGGCATAGCTAGGTTCTCACAGAAACAAAATCAAAAATTCTCTGTGAGATCAGAACCATTTGGTGGTCTGAGTGATAGTATAGCAGGTGAGACACTTTCCTTGAATGTGCCAGCAGGGGTATGATCCTGGCAACTCATATAGTTCCTGAGTCTGCCAGGAGTGAACCTTGAGCATAGAGCCTGGAGTAAGCCCTGAGCATAGTTGGTTATGGAGGAAAGAAGGAAGAAATGAAGGAAGGAAGGAAGGAAGGAAGGAAGGAAGGAAGGAAGGAAGGAAGGGAGGGACGGAGGGAGGGAGGGAGGGAGGAAGGGAGGGAAGGACAGAGGGAGGGAGGGAGGGAGGGAGGATGAGGGGGAAGGAAAGGACGAGGAAGGAAGGAATGAACGAAGGAACAAAGGACAGAAGAAAGGAAGATTTCTCGGGAGAGTATTGATTGATATTTTATTTTTCTGAAAAGGGGGTACAACAAGGCAAATCAGTTTGGGGTGGATTGCACATTGGAACTGGCCTGGTACCTTTCCCCTATTAAACACAAAATCCCTTCAATTCTTGGGAGACTTGTCTTATAGACTGAGTGTCAAGTTTTACAAGGTTGAATAAGGGTGTTAAAGTAAAGTTCTCTTCTCAGTTCAGTACAGGTTTTGTGTACTCCTATTTTCTTAACTCATCGCTCTTACCTCTGTCAAGATAATGCTCTATAATTTTCTTTGAAACTTCCCACCTTTGGGATCAGAAATAGAGATGGAGCAACGGAGCACCTGCTTTGTGTTCAGGAGACCAGGATTGATCTCTGACACCATGTGTTCCCCTACCCCCACCCCGAGAACTTTGTGGTATGGCTGCAAAACAAAGCTAAATAAAAATAATGATGATAATAAGTTCATCTTTTAACTCGATAATGATGCCAGAGTCTATCATCCATGAGTCATTGTAGAAAAGTCTGAGCTCTCCTGCAGAATCCCAGGGTTCGGCTGCACACACTGTCGAAGCCTAGGTACCTGCTACACTTCTTCATTTGAGTTTGCACATTATTTATGGGAGAGTCTGGACAAAATCCTGTTCTGGATGGGTAAGAGAGCTCTGGGTGCTAAAAAGATCAGCTCTGGAACCAATTTGACATAAACAGACACTAGTCCCAGATAGAGTTGATGGTGTGTAGACTGTGGCCCTGCTGCCCAGTGCTTTGGAAAGATCTGTGAATAGCCTCACGAGAGAGAAGGAGACTAAGTTGGCTGGAGAAGAATGACCTAGAGCTGAGAGTGACTTGGAGGTTGGATCACTCACTCACTAGCCCAGAATCAGCAGTTCACATGATGACCCACCCAGTCTGATATGGCAGCTCGCTGTTGCCTGGGTACTGGCTACCCTGCTCATGGCTCAAGAAGTAAATAGGACCAATGCAGGCTGAGCTGAGACAGCCCCAGGAAAACCTGCCTTTTTGCCTGTCTCCCATGGAAACAAAAGCTTACCCAGTTCAATTCCAAAGAAAGCGTCATTGGAGACTGCAGAGGAGGAGTCAAAGAGAACAAAGGGCATCTTTTAAAAGATATCTCAGGATCCAGGCTTGAGGGCTGGGTGCAAGCTGGTAAATAGGGCATGGCCTATTTACTAGCTATACATTCATAGGTGGGGCCATTTGTAGGTATTTCCACTCCAAGGTAGGTTTCTTTGCTGTCCTTAGGATACAAGCACCTCTTAAGCCTCTGGGACAGGAAAGGAACAGCAGAGAGGCAGCCCTTTGGAGTTGTTTGAAGAAAAGCGGACTTACTTAACTGTGTGTGGTGTTCTACTCTCTGGGAGACTTTGAGGACTGCAGTTAAGAGAAGCCAGCTAGACATTTCATCTGCCTTAAGAAAGCCAAGAGGAACTTGCCACCTTCTAAATGGTAGGTGGATGCATTTTACTCTGATAGGGTTTTAGGACTAGGAGTCTGAAAACAAAGAAACAGGTAGGGAGAGACTCTGAGGCTGGCAACACCAACTACTCTTGCACTGTGTATATTAATTATCCCAGGGTCCCAAATGCTGCAGGAATGGTGACAGCAGGTCTCTGTGCTGGTCCAAAGTTCTCAGGTTCTTTAATATATATTCAAGAATGAAATAAAATGCTCAGACTCAGAATTAGAAAGTAGAAAAGTTTATTGGGAAGTAGAAGAGAGAGGAAAGGTAACTCCCCATGGGGGAATCTTAGTATAGGACTAAGTTAATTGTGGCTCTTTTTGTGGGGGAATTGTCTGTGTTACAGAGAATGCAGGGAAGTTAAAAATATGGGTCTGTTGTGAAGGTCCTTTTAATGAGAACTGGGCTGAAAATTGGGCTCTCTGCATTTCTTATGAATGGACAAGAATGCTAGAGAGAATGCAAGGATTCAGCAGATCCTTACCTGGCCTTTGCGTTGGGCATTGCCCATCTTTTTAGCCTCCAGATAAACCTAAGCTCTGGAGCATTATTTTATGTTTTACAATTGTTAACTCCCTATTTATCAGGAAAAGACCAGAAATTTGCAGGAAGTCAAAAGTGTAGGATGGGGAGTTAAAAATGGGACTGCCCACAGCAACTGACAAGGGTAAACTGGGGCTTCCTCTTTCATTAAAAGGGGATGACTGCCTCTGGGTAGTCTTCATTTTTAAAGTAATTTCCCCTGAAGTCTGTAATGTCTCTGTCACCTTTAGCTCCAGCTACCTAGTGACATAAAACATTGGAGAAGGCCTGTATTGGGCATTTTCCAGGAGGCTGATCTCATAAGTGTCTGCTTTGTCTGTGAGCTGGAACTTTTCAACTCCTAGAATTCCCTTGGCTACTCTCTTTTAAGCTGTACACAAAACTCCAGGGACAGTGAATAGGGTCCTTGTATGTTCCACACTTGCTCACAAAGAATCACTGTCCCCTGAACTGCATAATGACCAAGATCTTGAAAAGGATTTTGTAGCACATATTTTAATATGTGTGTGTGTTTAGTTTATTCAGACATGAAAGTAAATATTGTCACTCTTTTCCATTCTGACAGGGAACAGTAAACTGTGAAGTTGGAAGTTGGTCTTTTTAAGGTAAAAGCACTTTACATTTTAAAACTATAAAATGTTCATCAGCTTTATTTTGTTTCCAGCATGCCTGGTTGGTTAATTTGATACTATCATCCCTTTCTTTCTTTTCTGAGTCTGATATTTATGTATGAGCGATAGCACAACGGTAGGGCGTTTGCCTTGCACGCAGTCAACGTGGCCGACCCGAGTTCGATTCCTCTGCCCCTCTGGGAGAGCCTGGCAAGCTAACGAGAGTATCTCGCCCGCACGGCAGAGCCTGGCAAGCTCCCCATGACGTATTCAATATGCCAAACACAGTAACAACAAAGTCTCCAATGGAGACGTTACTGGGCCCGCTCGAGCAAATCGACGAACAACAGGAGGGCCTTTGAGATATATATATAGATATGACCGAGAAGATCAGCTGAAGAACTTCACATCGGGACCCATGGCCTAGAATGGAACGAACAGGGTGAGAGACTGTCTGAGTTCATCATGTCGACCAAGACCATTCATGGTAACTCACAGTTCCAGAAGGCAGAATCTAAACGATGGAAATGGGAGTCTCCCGGTGGACGATTCCACAACGAAATAGACCACATCATATTCAATCGACAGTTTTGCCTGACCCATGTCGCTGTTGTCCCAAAATTTCGAACGGGATCGGACCACCGTCTCCTTCGTTCAAAATTCTACTTCACAGAGCGGGGAGAAAGGGCTGCAGAGTTCAAAAAGAGAACTCCCAGAACGACCACCAACTGGGAACTCTTTGGGACTATTGTGGCAACATGGGAAGATGCCATTGTTGACAACATTGACGAGGAATACGATCGACTGGTTCAGCACCTCCATGAATGTGCGAGGAACGCCGAGAGAGATAGCCACAAAAAATCGCCTATCTTCGAAAACTCTTGAGTTAATTCGCCAGCGTGGTTTGGCGCATGCCTCAGGCAACCGCAAGCTAACATCCGAGCTCGCAAAGCAGTGCAGAGATGCGATCAAGGAAGACCTCAAAGAGAGAAGAGCAGAAGTACTGGTAGATGCGGCAGAAGCTGGGAAAAGTATTCGTAACGCCCGCCTGTCCTTCGCCAACTATAAGACCAAGATGACTGCCCTCCGACGTCCTGATGGATCCATCACATCCTCCAGAACGGCGGAGAAGATTATCTATGACTTCTACTCAAATCTCTTCGATAGCCATGTCCACTTGCCGACATACCAAATTCCACAGGATGGATATGTCGTTCCCAACGTTCTCCCTTCCGAAATCCGACACGCCATTTCGTCGGTAAAGAAACAAACAGCACCCAGCCCAGACAAGGTCAGACCTGAACACCTGAAGAACCTGCCGTCAGTACTCATCAATACACAGGCTCGGCTCTTCACTCTCTACCTGTCTGAATGCAAGGTTCCGTCCCAATGGTAAACCAGCAGGACCGTACTACTCTTCAAGAAGGGAGACATCCATGACATTGGCAACTATCGCCCAATCTGCCTACTGTCTGTCATCTACAAGTTGTTCACTCGAGTCATCCTGAATAGGATTGGCAGAACACTAGATGAAGGACAACCATGCGAGCAAGCAGGGTTCCGTAAAGGATTCAGCACCATCGACCATATCCACACGATAACCAAGCTCATTGAGGTTTCTCGGGAGTTCAAGATGCTGCTCTGTTTAACGTTCATTGATTTAAAGAAGGCCTTTGATTCTGTTGAGACGGAAGCGGTCATTGAAGCCCTAGCCAATCAGGGCATTCAAGCCCAATACATCAGGATCCTCCGTGAGCTGTACTGCGGATTCACTACCAGGATCTCACCATTCTACAAAGAAGTGGTCATTGATGTCAAGAGAGGGGTGCAGCAGGGTGATACCATTTCACCGAAACTCTTCAGTGCCACCCTCGAGAACATCATGCGGCGACTGGAATGGGAAGGAATGGGAGTGAAGATAGATGGTCGGCAACTACACCACCTCTGCTTTGCTGATGACATTGTTTTAATAACACCAAACATCAGTCAAGCGGCACAAATGCTAGCCGACTTTGACCGTGAGTGTGGAAAGGTAGGACTACAGCTGAATCTTATGAAGACAATGTTTATGAGAAACAGCCTTGTTCCTGATGCCCCTTTCGCTCTCAATGGAACGACCAACTCCGAATGCAACAGCTATGTGTACCTAGGTCGAGAAGTCAACATGACAAATGACCTGGCATCCGAGCTGCGCAGGAGGAAGAGAGCAGCTTGGAACGCCTTCAAGAACGTCGAAGAAATAGCTAAGAGGACGAAGAACCTCTGGCTCTGGGCACATCTCTTTGATTCCACTGTTCTTCCTGCATTAACATATGCCTCAGAGACCTGGGCCCTACGCAAACAAGATGAGAAAGCTATTCAGATCTCCCAAAGAAGAATAGAAAGAGCTATGCTTGGAATATCACGTTTCACGCAAATAAGAGAAAGAATCCGGAGTTCTGACATCCGTCGATGATCAAGGATCAGGGACGCTGTCTCATTTGCCAAGGTGTCGAAAATCAGATGGGCTGGTCACGTAATGAGATTTAAAGACGACCGTTGGACTAGAGCTGTTACTGATTGGATTCCACGGGATGTCAAAAGACCGCGTGGCCGCCCACCTACCAGATGGTCAGACTTCTTTGTCAAGATCATGAATGATTGGTTTGAGGCCCTTCATGCTCTCGGAGCGAACAGATGCCATTGGGCTACACTAGCACGCGACAGGGACAAATGGAGACGTTACTGGCGCCCACTCGAGCAAATCGACGGCTAACGGGAAGTTAAGTGATTTAAGTGATATATATATATATATATATATATATATATATATATCACTGCACTGTGGCACTGTCCTCCTGTTGTTCATTGATTTGCTCGAGCAGGCACCAGTAAAGTCTCACAACAAATTGTTACTGTTTTTGGCATATTGAATACGTCATGGGTAGCTTGCCAGGCTTTGCCATGAGGGCGAGATACTCTCGGTAGCTTGCTGGGCTCTCTGAGAGGGGCGGAGGAATCAAACCTGGGTCAGCCATGTTGGCCACATGCAAGGCAAATGCCTTACCCACTGTGCTATTGCTCCAGCCCCAGTATTAATGATCTAACATTATTCTAATTTTCAGGCAGTGTATAAGCAGAATTCCAGTTAAAATACAAATAGACTGTTTTAGGACCAGACTGATAATATAGTGGGTTGGGAATTTACTTCGCAGGTGGCTGACCCAGGTTCAATTCCAGGCATCCTATATGGTCCCCTGAACACAACCAGGACTAATTTCTGAGTGAAGAGACAGGAGGAACCACTGAATATTGCCAATGTGACCCAAAACCCAAAAATAAAATGGGTGAGGGAGAGAGGGATAGGGAGAAGAGGAGAGAGAGAGAGAGAGAGAGAGAGAGAGAGAGAGAGAGAGAGAGACTTTTATTTTGCTATAAATGCATGGGCAGTACAAACTGAAACTTTCATTTTCCTGTAAATGACTCCACAGTAGGAAATCGAAACTTAATTTGACCTGAGGACTCAGCCAATGAACAGCTGCTGCATCAACTTCCAGTATCTCTCCCTGTTTACACAACTTGCTGCAGTCCTCAAGGAGGTTATCCTGTTCTTCCCAGATTCAGTCCATTTTCTTCAGGATTGTTGGAATTTTAGTCTCCAGATCTCATTGTAGCGTGTCTATTCATTTTCTTTAAAACAGATGCCTGTACAGGGGTTACAGCCTAGTTAAAACCTGACATTCAACCTCTTCATTCAAGTTTCTGCCCTGCCTAATCCAGCTTCTTTCAACAAAGAGGAGACAATCAATGAAGGTCAAGGACTCACTGAAAGAAATGCAAAATGCAGAAACTTAGTGACTGGCTGGAACATCATAACTGCATGTGTATCAGTGGAAAGGAACAATTTGGTAATGTAAAGTTGCTGCAAAGAGCTAAAGCACAGGGTGGGGGGGTGGGGCCAACAGAGAGGGTGGGGGGAGAGACAGAGAGAGAGAGAGAGAGAGAGAGAGAGAGAGATTTTTATTTTGCTATAAATGCATGGGCAGTACAAACTGAAACTTTCATTTTCCTGTAAATGCCTCCACAGTAGGAAATCGAAACTTAATTTGACCCGAGGACTCAGCCAATGAACAGCTGCATCAACTTCCAGTATCTCTCCCTGTTTATAAGAATTTGCTGTAGCCCTCAGGAGGTTACCCTGTTCTTCCCAGATTTAGTACATTTTCTTCAGGATTGTTGGAATTTTAGTCTCCTGATCTCATTGTAGCAAGTCTATTCATTTTCTTTAAATCAGATGTCTGTACAGGGGTCACAGCCTAGTTAGACAAAAATCCTGACATTCAACCCTTTCATTCAAGTTTCTCCCCTGCAAAATCCAGCTTCTGTCAACAAAGAGGAGACAATGGAGGTGGAGGACTTGTTAGGGTGCGGATCATGATCTCCCTTTAACAACAAAGAGACTCCAGAGACTGAAAACAGCAAGCAAGGTTTATTGTAAGACTGGTTAGCCAGGGTCAAGCAGCCTACACAGACACGCAGGTCAGTTAGGTGAGGCAAGACCCCGAACTTCTTCAAAGGGGCTCTTATATAGGCCTACACTGGCCATTACAGCAAAGCCCGCACATTTCATAGCCAGTAGATTTGTAACAACATATACTTTCTTAACCAATCCATTTAAAAGTGCATCACTCCTTAGCCTATAGATTCGAAGATCAGCATTTACGTACATAGACATTGTGGCTAGTGGGCATCTGGTAACTGGGACATTTGGTTATCACCTGGCTTCCTTTGATTCTCAGCCCTGCATTCTGGTGGAGGTGGATAAGGGAAGAGTTCCTAAGGGAGGTAACAGATAAGGAGGGCCCAACAAATGGTTCCTGAATTTACATTCCAACAGGGAACAGTTTCACTCTAAAGCTCTGCTAGGGAGGGGGCAGGAAAGGGAGAGTTACTAATTTATAGAGTTGTAACTCTGGAATCTCCCTCAGGGTCCCTAGGGACCTAACAGACTTACTGAAAGAAATGCAGAAACATAATGACTGGCTGGAACATCATGACTGCGGGGTGTATCAGTGGAAAAGAACAATTTAGTAATGTAAAGTTATTGCAAAGAGCAAAAGCATGGGGTGAAGGTGGGGCCAACAGAGGGGGAGAGGGAGAGGAGACAGAAAGAGAGAGGGAGAGGAGAGAGGGGGGAGGAGGGAGGATGAAAGAGAGAGAAGGAGAGAGAGAGAGAGAGAGAGAGAGAGACTGCCTCAAGGACAGCAAACTTGAATACCGTATATTTCATAATCACTTAATCACTTAATCCCCGTTATTCATCCATTTACTCGAGCGTGTGCCAGTAACGTCTCCATTCATCCCGGTTGCGTGCTAGCGTAGTCCAATGGTATCTGTTCGTTCTAGGAACATGCAGAGCCTCCCGGGAGCTTGTTGTGATAATTTCTGGATCCTGGCCGTTGTTGGGGTTTCACGGCAGTTGGAGGGCGTAACTGTCTAGCTACTGACAGGTCCAGTCCCAAACCGTGCAGGCTTGGAGATCTCAGCCCCGGGTCCCACACACCTGGTTTCCTCTGCCAGTTCTGTTATGCCTGAGGCTTATCCAAGTGTGTGCAGAGTGGCCCCAGTAAGGCCTTGGCTGGGGCCTGGAGGTCTTCAGCTGTTGGGCCCTGGCGAGGATAGTCAGGCACAGGGTAGGAGACTCTGTGTTTTCATAATTTCATAATTTCAAATTTCACATTTCATAATATGTGAACTAATAAATTTGCCTGTCAGAACTGGTTTTTTTTAAGGTGGAAATCTTTTCTAATTTATTAATAGAGAGCCGAAGGCAGAGGATTGGCATTTTAAAATTAAGAATGATAGATTGAACCTAGACATTACCAAACAATTTAGCATTTAAATTTTGTTCACTTTTTTTTTTGTGGTACCAGGCACCAAATTGAGAACCTCATACATATGAGGCACACAGTCTGCTATTGAGCTAGACCTTGCATGCTTAGGATTAGAGCAAATTTGACTTGAGATGAAGAACATAATAATGTGTGCTTGTTTTTTTTTTTTTTTGCCTGAAATAAAGGGCATCTTCTACTGAAATTCTAGCTGTTAAAAAACATATTTCTTTCTTTTTTCTTTCCCCCCTCTCCCTGAATTTTATTTTTTCTTTGGAATGATAAGAAAGATAAGATACTCCATTGAATTCCCATAAAATAGAGCTTGTATTTAATAACAACTTAATATGAAAGAATCCATATTAGGGCATCAAATTTTTGCGTGCTTCAGCTAATTTGCAATGTTGCTTTCTGTAAAACTGCTTGGCTGCTTTGCACCTGGGGGAGAGGGGACTTGGAAAGTGAACAGGGCATAACTTCTTTCTAAACCAAGTGTGGCAGGATTCAGGTGTCTTTACTGTTCCTGAAATGTATTGTCTCAGTAAAACACCCTGCAGACTTGGGCAACTCAAGACAAGGATGGTCAAGGGAGATTACCTAAGGCTTAATGATTCCGGCTATAACCTTGCTTGTGCTGACAATCGATGTACCTAAATGCTGATCTTTGAATCTATAGGCTAAGGAGTGAGGTATTTTTAAATGGATTGGTTAAGAAAGTATATGTTGTTACAAATCTATTGACTATGAAATGTGCGGGCCTTGCTGTAACGGCCAGTGAAGGCCTATATAAGGTCCCCTTTGAAGATGCTCGGGGCTTTCAGTCACTGCCCACTCTGGGCTCTGCTGTGGAGCCCCAGCATGCTGGTCTAAATAAACCCCGTTTTTACTCCTGCAGGAATTGTGTCTATCTGGTCTCTCCGCGCCTCCCAGGGCTAGGGAACTCCCGATCCCAACAAATAAATAATGTTAATATTTATGAACTAACTTAAGGTTTCACTAACTAAAGCTGTTTGACAATCAGTATGTCATATTTGTTAAACTAAACTGACCAGTAAGAATGTTTTGCATTGAAAAAGCAAAGTTTGAGCTGTTTTTGGATTATGAAACTAAAATGTTTATATTAGAAAAATATCTGGTTCATTTCTTTGTTCTTTTGAGAGATAGTGACTGATGTCATATTCCCAACTACAAATCCAATGGTTATGATGTCAGAGTGCAATATAGGTGGCATATGACTTTGAAGGAGATTGGGAGAGGACAGTCCAAGTTTGAGAAGAGAAATAAGAGAGGAATGGAACATGATGCTAGGGAAGATATTAGATTGAGGGAAATAAAGGAGAAAAGAAAAGAGCTTTGGGGAGACTAGTAACAGTGTAAAATAGATTTGAGGGATATTGAAGGGAAATTTACTTCTTACCTCTGTCCCAGTCAAAAATTATGAAATACACTGAATTTTTAAGACATTTTTTGGATGCAGAACCAGAAAGAATGAAAGATGAGTTTTTTGTCTGAAGACATCTCCCGAAATGCTACTGAGAATGGTTTTAGATCATCCATTCTAACATTTCTTCTTCTCTGACTAGAACTTAGGTCAAAACTTCTGTGATACTGGGAGATCCATGTGAAATGCAGTAGTTGAAGGAGTGTGAGCAGGAAATTTATCTTAAGTATGATTTTAATTTCATTATAGTCATGAGGGAAATAGAGCATGAGTGGTTCCATGGGTGTTGTTCCAGCAGCAAACAGCTTTTTGCTGATTCTCAAAATGAGCTACTAAAGGCAGGTATGCCGAATATCAATGCTTTAATGCTTTTTGAACCTGGGGGGAACCTAGAGTTTAGAGGTCTGTTTGCAAGAGAGAAGACTGATTGTTGACCTTGGTCAGGACAAAGTTCAACGAGGAACAAACAATTGTGACCATAAGTTCATTCTTCTTTTCGCTATGTGCTGGGTGGCATTTTTTTTTCCTCCACCAGAATTTAGACTGTTGTTAGATTTTAGTGTTAAAGGTGTTATGTTTCTATGCAGGTTTTCAAGCATTATTTATCCTGTGTAAATACCAAGCATAGGGTATTTTTAGATATCACTTATCACTTAATCACTTAACTTCCCGTTAGTCGTCGATTTGCTTGAGCGGGCACCAGTAACATCTCCATTTGTCCCTGTCGCGTGCTACTGTAGCACAATGGCATCTATTAGCTCTGGGAACATGAAGAGCCTCAAACCGATCGTTCATGATCTTGACGAAGAAGTCTGACCATCTGATAGGTGGGCGGCCATGCGGTCTTTTGACATCCCGTGGAATCCAGTCGGTAATAGCTCTAGTACAGCGATCATCTTTAAATCTCATTACGTGACCAGCCCATTTGAATTTTGACACATTGACAAACGAGACAGCGTCCCTGATTCTTGATCGTCGACGGATGTCGGAACTCCGGATTCTTTCTCTCATTTGAGTGAAACGTGATATTCCAAGCATAGCTCTTTCTATTCTTCTTTGGGAGACCTGAATAGCGTTCTCATCTTGTTTACATAGGGCCCAGGTCTCTGAGGGATATGTAAATGCAGGAAGAACAGTGGAATCAAAGAGATGTGCCCCGAGCTGGAGGTTCTTCATCCTCTTAGCTATTTCTTTGACGTTCTTGAAGGGATTCCAAGCCGCTCTCTTCCTCCTGCGCAGCGCAGCTCGGGTGCCAGGTTATTTGTCATGTTGATTTCTCGACCTAGGTACGCATAGCTGTTGCATTTGGAGATGGTCGTTCTGTTGAGAGCGAATGGGGCATCAGAAACGAGGCTGTTTCTCATGAACATTGTCTTCCTAAGATTCAGCTGTAATCCTACCTTTCCACACTCACGGTCAAAGTCGGCCAGCATTTGTGCCGCTTGGCTGATGTTTGGTGTTATTAAAAAAATGTCATCAGCAAAGCGGAGGTGGTGTAGTTGCTGACCATCTATCTTCACTCCCATTCCTTCCCATTCCAGTCGCCGCATGATGTTCTCGAGGGTGGCACTCAAGA